AGATTGGGTAAACACCGCAATGAGTCACAATATAAAAATGAGTGACCATTCCATGCTGAAAGCACTTTCCTCCCTCCACACCTCCCAGTCCACCCTCACATTCCCCCTATATCCAGATCTCTTCCCCCTCTGTTTGTCTTCAGAAAAGAGCAGGCCTCCTAGGGAGGTCAACCCAACAGGGCATAACAAGTTAGAAAAAGACTAGGCGCACAGTTGGACTGGGAGCAAGTGGAGATGTAAAACAGGAAAGATCAGGCAGGGGTGTGGAGAAAGCACTAAGACAGGTGAATGGAACTGGGGAATGTGGGGAACCCTAGTGCAGTGGAAATTACAAGGGTGACCCTAGAGAAGACTCCTAGTTATAGGGTATACGTAGCCTCAACTGACCACCTTATACAAAGATGGTAGCACAAAACTTGTGTGAGTGGCCAACCAATGATTGGTCCAACTTGAACCTCCGAGCCTTGTGAGGGAGCCAGCCCATGCGTAACACTGCCTGGATGGCCAGGAACCAGAAGCTAGAGAGCCAAGAGACCCAGGATAGAACCAAACAAAAGAGGCAAACAAACAAACAAACAAACAAAGGTCGAGAACTCTTTGCCATTAAGACTGAGGACTTAATAAGCCGCTGGTTGGGAGAATTCATATCCTACACACAAAAGGGGGAAGCTACACTTGAGTTCTGCACACACTGTACAATGTGATTGTGTCTTATACACACACACACACACACATACACACCTGATTTCTCAGAGTGCCCCTAAGTCACAGTTACTCCTACATTTGAAGAAAAATAAAGGAAATGTGTCTGTACAGCAGCACCGGGCAGTAGAGAGCTGAGGGAAAGTCTTCAGTAACACACGTGCTGATGAAGGAGAGAGACCAGAGCTTCTTTGTTAGGAGCATGAAAGACAGACCGAGGGCTAAGACATCACAGGTTGTCTCTGGTCGAGACGGGAGCCCTCTTCTCTTCCTCCCCAGTCACTCACCCACCTTGGCTGACAGAAGCTCAGATGTTCTTGGAGAAGGGAAAAAGTGTCTACAGGTTACTAGTTCTCAGATACAACCATTCCAGTGCATTCCTTCACACCAGGAAGTGGATAGAGCCCTGAGAAGGGACAGGAGCAGTGGGGGTAGGGAAGTGTGAGCTAAGTGGCTCTGCAAGGCTGGCTGTGTGGATGCTGAGCCCAGTGGGTTCTCTCCGGGTCTCCTGTGCTATGTAATTACAAATGAGAACTAAAGACTTCATTTCTCACTGGTGATAGAGACCCAGAACTGGTGTGTGGTCCTTAGAGTTAACCATATATAATTCTTTTCCACTTCATCTTGTCAACATCTGAACTCTCACCTTTAAGAGACAGAAGCATGGTTTGACAGTGAACATCAAAAAGAGCTGTATTCAAACAATAGGAGGAATGAAGAACTCAGACACGAGGCAAGTTGGTTCCTCTGCATAAAGTCAGCACAAGAAACAGACAAAACCTCTAAAAATGTCCTCCTCTTGCTCTGCCCTGAACACCACAGTGTAAGACCAGATACTGACTCTGTCCCTTGAACATCTTTTGTTCTAGGATTACTGAGCTTTTTATTTATTAGATTGATTCATTTTATGTTATATGCATTATCTTTGCATATGTGTTTCATCTGTGTTTAATGCCCATGGAGGTCATAAAGGCATTGGATGTCCTAGAACTAGAGTGACAGGTCTTTGTAATCTACCATGTGGGTGCCAGAAATCGAACATGGATCTCAGCAGGAGCAGCAATTACTCTGAACCACTGAGCCATCTCTCCAGCCCTACATAGTGTTATTGAACTTTGAAATGTTCAGAAAACAAACTTTTCAGTTTCTCAGAAGTTTCTCCCATTTCATTTCCTGGCTTGGGGGTAAAAGAAGGGAAAATTCCCAGGATCCTGGAAACTCAGGCACCGTAATTAGGACCAGAAAAGTTTCTGGCTCAACAAATAACAGGGCCCCAGGGAGAGCACAGAGCGGGTGTCCAGGATGGAGATGTGCAGAAGGAGCCCTTTTCCCCTGGAGAAGCCAAACTCCCATGGTGACATCCTATCAGCAGTGACAGCTGCTGTGGGCACAGGGCTCGGGGATGATAAAGAGTGTTTGCTGTGCTGTGAGGACACCCACCCTGAGCCCTGCACGGACTCCGCAGGTGAGTGTCCTTCATGTCACAGTGGACTGAAGCTGCCTTTCACCTTGACAGAGATGCTGTGAGGTAGGAATGGGTTAGGAGAGGTAGTTGAAGAGAAGGGTCTGGGTTCCTCGGCTACTGTGAAAGAGGAAGGTGACAAGATACAGGGAGAAAGGAGTCTCTTCTTTTACACCAGCCATCCAGAATTTTTTCTATGTCCATGAAGGAGCCAAGTACAGCTGTGTGTGATGCCCTGGGCCAGAGATGCTCATTACAGCCCAGGCAGGTACAGCAGACGTGGGCTGAAATTTCAGCTTGAGTGTGGGAAGCTTTTCTTCTGTGCAGTTTCTCCAGGTTGTGTGTTTGTCCTCACAGGAGTGAAAGGTTCTGCTCAACAGGATCTCATGTCTTTATCCTTCTTAGAATGCGGGACATTGCCCTTCTTTGTTTGGTATAGAGTTCCTGAAGTTCCCCTCTTCAGACTTATATCACAGGGTTCAAATACAGATAATTATGGGGAAAACTGACATGAGACAAAATCACAGAACAATTGCTATTGGGGCATGTTTAACATGGGGCAGGCATTATCCTAAGCATTATGTGCCTTTCCTCCACTGAATCTTCACAATACACTTGAATGCTTCAAAGCACTATCCATACATTAATGAGTCTTGAACGGACCAAGTGAAATATTCAAAGCCCGGCATATAGCATTTGAGAACAGCAGGTTTTGAAAGACAGGAAAGCTGGTTACAAAGCTTGAGCTAGTCAATTTACAATGTATCTTCTCTAGTACTGATTTCTCCTTCTCTTGGAGCTGGACCTTGCATTCTGTCCATTTGTTCCATGACCCATTTCTGAAATGAAACCCTGACTTGATTAGTTTCACACACATTGCTCTTTTTTATTTCTTACATACTGGAGGAGATTGAGGACCCTTATTAAATATGTGTATAAGTAACTCTTCCCAATAACATACACACATGGCTGTGTGTGTGTGTGTGTGATTGTAGTTTTTCAACTAAGTTATTATACTGTTGGAAATCAAAGACAATTTTATCATGATAAATTTTGCTATTGACATCTCAGAGGTGACATAGGTACATCTGAAAAGCTAACAAATTATAAGCAGATCAATATAGATGTATTTCAAGAGAAAATAAAGAATTGCTGGTAAGTTTCTTGAAGGACAGCCCATGTCCATCACTAAATTGGTTGAATGGTAGATGCTCACATCATTGCACAAGTGAGGACATGCTAAATTCTTATCAAATGAGCCATCCAAAGTAAATTGACTTCTCCAGGATACTGAGCTTTTTAAATCTTCAGGAAAAAGCCCAATCAAATGTCTCTTCAAATTGCTTTATCACTTCGTCTCTGGAATTAAAGTGCAGTTTTAAAACCAACAGTTTCATTGAGCACTCTATAATCTTTTTTATTATTATTTTTATTAATTACAGTTTATTCACTTTGTATCCCCCCCTGCACCTCCCTCCTCCCCCCACCTCAATTGCACTTTCTCTCTTCTCAAAATGAATCCCTATCCCAGTGCACTGATAAGGGAAGTCTACCTCCCCTTCTCTCTGATCCTGGTCCATCAGGTCTCATCAAGAGTGGCTGCAGTCTTCTTCCCTGGCCTGGCAAGGCTGCTCCCCTCTCAGGGGGAGGTGATCAGAGAGAAGGCCAATCACTTCATGTCAGAGACAGCCCCTATCCCCATCACCATGGAGGCTACTTGGATACTGAACCACCATAGGCTACGTATAACCTTTTGAGCAGGTACTATGTTAATACAAAGTATAGAAAAATGAGGGTCTCTGAGGCCTTCTCACTGCCCAGTGAAGGAAGGGAGAAGATAAACAGGCAACATAGCATCCTGAGGTCAGAAACTTAAGTGATAAAACTCTTAGCAGGTGCCATAAGGCACAGTAGTTGGGCAAAATCAACATTGTATACAGCATAGATACATGTGGAAAGGTAAGCACAACTTTTAACCTTTTGTTTGTTTGTTTGTTTAGGTTTTTTTTGTAAAATGTTCAAACTAATTTAAACCTGATTTTGATATGGATGAGGTGTCAAATTGTTTTTGTGGAGGACAGATGAAAATCAAGGTTGTTATTTGTTTTGTGAGAGGTGAAACAAATGGAGATTCTACCCATAAAGTTTGGGAACACAATTTTTACCAGACTTAGTCCCATATAGAGAACAGTGTTCTAGCAGTTCATACCCTGACTAAGTCTCTAACCTCTACATAATTTATGGTGCAAAGGCTTGAGAAGAGGAGAATACCATATCATCTCCATTGAGAAACTTGTCCACTTGACCAAGTACACCTTTGTGAGAAGCAGCAAGTTTTTTTTTTATTATTTTAAGAACCATTTGGGTGATGATTGCATATGGGGCAATGAAGAGGATCAGGATTAAGCACAATCACATCCCAGTGGCATGATGTCATACTTGGGGAGATGAGGAAAAATTGAGGAGCCTGTTAGGCTAATATTTAGGACTGCGTTGGCCTTTCAGGACAACACTGACCGAGTGATGCCATGCATTTAGCTTCTGTCTGGGAAGAGTATGGTCATATGATCTTGAGGGATGAAGTACTGTCATGAAAGGCAGGAAACTATCAAGTTTAAGCACTGATGGTAGGTTTCATAATTTCTATGAGAAGGAAAGGATAAGAAGAAAACAAAAAAAATCAAAAAGGACATCAGACATAGTGATCAGGCATCATAAAGTAAAGAACCATATCTGTTTATATAGTTGAGGCCATTCTGTTATATGAATAAGGTGAGAAAATACTACATTTATTTCTCAGAAGATGTTTTTCTAGTGCTGTGTATCAAGTCAGAAGATGAAGTTGAATAACATTACCCAGGCAATAGTCTTCTTTTCTCTTTTTGGACCTGGAATTGTAGGAAATGTCTTGGTAATTGTGAAACATATGTATACTTATGTTTTAGGGATTGAAAAAAAGCCCATAGACCTTATTCTCACCCACTTGGCATTTTGTAATATAATGATTATTTGTAGCATAGTGATCAGAGATATAGCCACAGTGTTTTATTTTAGAAACTTCCTAGGAGATATTGGCTGTAAAGCTGTGGTTTATCTAGCAAGGATGGCACGGGGCCTCTCCATCTGCACCACCTGTCTCCTCAGTGTGGTCCAGGCTGTCACCATCAGTCCCAGGACCACCATTTGGACAAAACTCAAACCGGAGACAGCATGGCAAGTTTTTCCCTGTCTCCTCCTCTTTTGGACTGTCAATACTCTCATAAGCTCTAATTTGCTCTGCTACATCAAATCAGGCAACGGCTTGAACAGGTCTGAAGCTGAAACATTCACTGGACATTGCTATATGCTGCCCTCCAGGAACATAGTTAAGTGGCTTTTCCTCTCTCTCATGACTCTTCGTGATGTCATCTTTCAGACTCTGATGGGCTGGAGCAGTGGGTTCATGGCTTTCCATCTGTATAAGCATCACAAGCATGTCCTCTACCTCTACAGTTCCAGACAACTCTCCTCCAGAAAGAACTCTCCTCCAGAAATCAGAGCTACCTGGAGTGTTCTGATTCTTATGACCTGCTTCCTTTTCTTCTATTGGGCAGATTTTATTCTCTCCTTCTACACAGGTTTTACAGTGACACATGATTCTCTTGTACTAAGTATTAAAACATTGTTAGAACTTGGTTATGCTAGTTTCAGCCCCTATGTTCTGATCAGCAGAGATATCCGTGTTCCTAATGTCTTCCGTGCTCACTGAGAAGTGTTGACATTATATTCCACATCTATACAAGCTAAAGAGAAGTACATTGTAAACTTTTTTGTTATGATGACTTTTAGAAGTGGGGTCCTAATGTTTGCTTTGTGGCATAGGCTGACCTGGAGGTCAGTATGTAGCACAGGCTGATCTTGAAGTGCCTTGGGACATCAAATGCTGGAATTACAGGTATTCCTCACCAAACTGCCATTTGCCGTAATATATATCACATCATTAAATTAAACTTTACGAAAATATATTTCATTTTCTTAAGAAGTCTGGCATCACACAGCCTTAAGTTTAGTGTTTCTTGAAATGTGGGCAGCAGATTCTTACCACTTTCCTATTCAGCCATTCCTGTTATGTGACTTTTCTCTTCTCATTGTTACTCGGGAAAATCCTCAGGTAACACTACTGTCAGCAATTAGTATTTTATCTTCTCCCCAAAAGCCAGAGTAATGAGAGCAAAAGAGGGGAGGAAGAAGTGAGGAAGTGACCATTATCTGAGCTGAGCTTGTCCAGATGAGGGAAGAGGACAGTGCGACAAGTGAGCTCACCCCAGCAAGGCAGTTCGGGTCAACAAGTATATGAGCTGGCTAGGCTCCAGACTGCTAAGAAAGCTAGTGTTGATGCAGCGGGACAATTCTAATCAGGTCAGACCCTAAAGTGACACGATAGGACACTGGAAAACAGACTCTCTCAAAGGATGTCAGGTCAGGTCTGGAGACCACGCCCCTCGCCAGACCTCACTGACACGCTTAAATATAAATACATCGCTGACAGATGGTTTACACTGGGTCCCAGTCACTTACTATGGCTGGTACTGAATATCACAGAGTCTTCTAGGTCACTTTGTCCTCTGAATCCAGACTCCACCTTCCGTTATGCTGTGAATCTAGATATGCTTGGTGAAGCCAAGGTGACACAGCTTTGCCCAGCAGCAGGATATTGGTGCCTAGAACCCCACCACGTCCAATGCAGGAGGACCCAGAAAGTCCAGGAATTGCATTGACTGGTCGTTCTCAAGACACTATGCATTGAAGTGGTCTCCTGGCTGCTCTGAGCTGTGGAGTACCTCTCCTAAAGGGACACAGGAGCATGGGGGGATGTTCATCAAAGCTGTCCATCAGCTCCCTGCAGTCCCTCCCCAAGATAAACCGAAGAGCCCAAACTTTCTTGCAGGGAATGGGGTCGAACTGCTCTCTCTGCAGCTGAGTACTGTGCCTGGAGGGGAGCCAAGCTGACTGTGTTCTTGACAAGCTCAGCTCAGATAAGGGGCATTTCCTCACTTCCTCCTACCCTCTTTTGCTCTCATACTCTGGTTTTTGTGGAGAAAATAAAATACTAATTGCTAACAGGAGTGTTACCTAAGGACTTTCCTGAGTAACAATGAGAAGAGAAAAGTCACATTACAGGAATGGTTCCTTCCCTGGGCCAAGAGCTGAAACTCTCCAGAGGATTGCAAGAAATAAGTCAAGCTATGGGTCTCTGAAATCCTTCTAAAATAAAGTCATATCTTAATGTTTTATAATATACATTAAAGGCCATTATTATAATTAGATCCTATATCAATGGCCTGAGTAGGGAGGCTCACCTGAAGAATTGTTCTATCTTGACTGTTGTCAGGAGACCCACCCCAATTGTGGGTGGCCCCTGCAGGTAAGAATGCAGGTTAAAAGTGTGTGTCAGAGGGAAGGTCATTCTGCCTTGTGCTCCTTGGCCTTCCCTTACATCTCTAGGTTAGTTTGCTCTGTTGATGTGGCTGCGGCTGATTCCTTTGCTGAGAGCACAAGCAGTGGCTCTCTAGGAAACTTCCAGGCTTCTGGAGCCACAATGAGACTACTGAGGCACCTGATCTGTAGAGTAATTAGCAGTCATGGCTCCCACGGTGTGACAGCTGTGAAGAAACTAGTCTGACTGTTGAGGTACCTACCCAGAAGGACCAAGTAAAATACTGGGTCTCATCATCTCCGGTGTGGTTTACCTCTTGTTACTAATTTAAAGCTGACTGAATACATTCTAGCATTATTTGGGTATATATACCATATATTATATTATAAATACATATGACTATTTTTCATCCTCTTGATTCTGTTCCTGTAGAGAACCCTGACTAAAACAGCCACCTGTCCAGAGTGTTCTGAGGTAGATGCATGGCTGGGGAGGAGGGCTGTCTCTCAAATGACCTCGTTTGTTTTCACACAGCATGCCCACAGTCTTTCTTACGGAGTGGACAATGTGGTGAGAATGAGACTTCAGTACCTCACCTGACACTTCTATCCAAAGACATTTTAATCTTTGTAATTTCTCTTGTGTTATTAAAAATCAAAGTGGTGGATAATTAGCCTTCTTTAGATAGAGTTTGTATAGGAATCTGAAATCTCAGATAACCCAGATTAGCATATCCACCTGCTCCTTTGTTATCATTTGATGTAAAGCTCCCTAGATCTCAGTGAATCCCCAGGGTACAGTGCAGTATACCCACATTACGATGTGGGCACTGGATCCGCAGAATTACTCCACCTGAGTGCAGCCTGGCACCTGTGCCCATCAGCTTCCTGTTCAAGAGAAGCACAAATCTGCCTTTTACTTCTGTGCCCTCAGTGGGTCAGAGGTATGAGTACAGTTTTTTTGTTGTTGTTGCTGCTGCTCTTTCATATATTCCTAGCCTTGTTTGTGAAAGCAGGTTTACCTAGAAAACATGTCTCTGGAATTTTCCACCTCTTCTTTCACTTCCCTGTGGTCCAGCCTGTCACCATCAGTTCCAGAACTATCCCTTGGAGAATATTTCAACCACAGACTACATGACAAGTCCTTGCCTCTTTACTTCTCTCCAATGTATCCAGAAGGCTGTCATATGATCAGATCTGGTATGGCAATGCATTATGGGTATTTATTATCCTACTCTCATTGTTTACAGTTTGCGAAAGGTCACAGATTTAGTATGGACTATAATTATTTTCTTCACAATTTATTCACTATATATTCTAATTGCAGCCCCCTCCCCCAACTCCCCCAGTACCACCCTCCCTCCCTCTTCCCTTTATACCCTTTCCCTAGTCTATTCAAAGGGGGAATTCTCCACTATTGTCATCTGTCCGGACTATAATTTCTTAAAGCGCCTAGCAAGACAACTGTCTCTGAGACAAACTTGAGATTGCCCTGGAAGAGAAGGTGGGTGAATATCATTTAGACAGATGTATTAAAGGTGCTAGCAGGACAACTATCTCTGAAAAACTTGAGATTGCTCGGGAAGTGAAGGAGGGTGAGTGCCATCTAGACAGATAGTGAAGTAAGGGTTTTTCTCTTCTCCTCTTACTCCCTCTTTGTCCTCCCACCCTTTCCTCTTTCCCACGACCCATTGACATCCCCTATCTCTTCTTCCTCATTCTCTTTGTGATGTAATGTTTCAGTTTCCTGGGTTGGAGTAGTAAGTCAATGATACTCTACAATGGTACATATAAAGGTCAATGGTACCTGTGTAGACATCACAGGTATGTCCTCTATCTTTTTTAATTAAATTTTTATTTTTATATTAATTGAAGTTTATTCACTTTGTATCTCAGCTGTAGCCCCCTTCCTCATTCTCTCCCAATTCCACCCTCCATGTCTCATCTCCTTCCATGTCCCTCTCCAAGTCCATTGATAGGGGAGGTTCTCCTTCCCTTCCATCTGACCCTAGCCTTTCAGGTCTCATCAGGACTGGCTGAAATGTCCTCCTCTGTGGCCTGGTAAGCCTGCTCACTCTTTAGGGGGAAGTGACCAAAGAGCCAGCCACTGAATTCATGTCAGAGACAGTCCCTATTCCCCTTATTAGACACTCGCTTGCATACTGAGCTGCTATTGGCTACATCTGAGCAGGGGTTCTAGGTTATATCCATGAATGGTCCTTGGTTGGAGTATCTGTCTCAGAAAAGACCCCTGTGCCCAGATATTTGGTTCTGTTGTTCTACTTGTGGAGCTCCTGTCCTCTCCAGGTCTTACTACTTTCCCCTTCTTTCATAAGATTCCCTGCACTATGCTCAAAGTTTGGCTATCAGTCTCAGCATCTGCTTTTATACACTGCTGGGTAGAATCTTTCAGAGGCCCTCTGTGGTAGGTTCCTGTCCTCTTTCCTGTTTTCTCCTTCTTCCAATGTCCATCACATTTGTCTCTCTGAGTGAGGGCTGATCATCTTACCCAGGGTCCTCGTTCTTCCTTAGCTTCTTTAGATATACACATTTTAGTATGATTATCGTATATTATATATCTAATATCCACTCATAAGTGAGTATATACCATGTGTGTCTTTCTGCTTCTGGGATACCTCACTCAGGATGATCTTATCTAGTTCCCACCATTTGCTTGAAAATTTCATGATTTCTTTGTTTTTAATTGCTGAGTAGTATTCCATTGTGTAAACGTACCACAATTTCTGAATCCATTCCTCAATTGAGGGACATCTGCGTAGTTTCCAGGTTATGGATATTACGAATAAAGATGCTATGAACATGGTTGAAGAAATGTCCTTGCTGTGTACTTGAGCATATTTTGGATATTTGTCTAGGATTGGTACAGCTGGGTTTTGAGGAAGTGCTATTCCTAAGTATCTGAGAAAGTACCAGATGGCTTTCTAAAGAGATTGGACAAGTTTACATTCCCACCAGCATTGGAGGAGGGTTCCCCTTCCTCATAAACCTCTCCAGAATGTATTGACACTTGAGATTTTGGTCTTAGCCATTCTGATAGGTGTAAGGTGAAATCTCAGGGTCATTTTGATTTGCATCTCCTTAATGACTAAGTACATTGAGCATTTCTTTAAGTGTTTCTCTTCCATTCTACATTCCTCTACAGAGAATTCTCTGTTTAGCTCTGTAACCCATTTTTTAAATTTGATTACTTGATTTGTTGCATTTTAACTTTTTTAGTTCTTTATTATATTCTGGATATCAGCCCTCTGTCAGATATAGGATTGATGAAGATCTTTTCCCAGTCTGTAGATTGTTACTTTGTTCTGATGACAG